ACTACATACACCATAGTGAATAATTGTAGTGATCAGCGTTGACCGATTGAATTACACTAGTCTTCATCGAGACAATTGTCACCGATGGCACTCAATGATCGATACAAATTGGTTGAATTGGAAATGGTGAACGTTTTAGTCCCAACTAAGTGGTCTTATACTGTTGTGGTCATCGAGGAAATCTTTAAGACTTCGATTTTAATGGTCACCCAGTGATCAATAAGATGAAATCGTCGAGTGAATGTTACGTGCATTGGTCTTCAATGGATAGAGATGCCGAGAACAAATATCGTAACTGTTCATCATGTCTGTGACCGTGACAAGTTTTCTTTGAAGTATTCGGCATCATCAAGTTTGTTGAGGTCGACCGCGTACCAATCCTCATGTTTCTTGAACCAGGATTCGAATGTAATGCCAGACTAACAGTCGAAATGAAAATTATCAACAGAACTGATGATGGAATCGGTATGTGATTTACATGATTCTTTAGTAATCCCTTAGTGGTTGATAGTCATTTGCTTCATTTGATTTTCTAGGGTACGAAGTAACGTGTATTGGACAGAGATACCGAGAACAAATGTCGTAATTGTTCATCATGTCTGCAAGCTAATAAAAGCTCTTCAAAACGCAAACCACAGAGGTGGCCTAAGCCTGAGGTGATGGACTGATATTTTGCAAATCAGTTATTTACTATATGGTTCTCGGAATCTACTAAGGGGATCTGTAAATTTGTATTCCAATACATTTGATTTTTCCCACTTGTGTTCTCCTTCACTATAATACAAACGGTTCATCCGTGTAACGAGAACTAGCATATAACACCATAACACAGAGAGAAGACAAATAATGGGAAAAGTTTATATTCATGATAGAACAAGCAGAATGAAATGAAACATTTCAACTTCGTATACGCAGCAATAGAAGCATCACTTACAGATGTATAGGGTAAAGTCATTTATTGAATCACATAGGAAGAAAGCAATTTTGTTTACAATTTTCAGTGTTACAAATCAAATGTGAATGATCTTGTAATCCCAATAACAGTTTCACATAACAAAAGATAACACTCATGGACAATAATCAATGAATATGTATAGACATTTGCATATCAATTTGATCCTAAAGAAAACTTTGGCTTGCATTCCTGGATACATGTTGAATAAGTGTTATTTAACTTGAAATGATCATATTCATCCAAATCATTATTGTTGCAAGTACTAATCCAAATAGAAAATATTGATCATCTGGAAAATTGAATCGTTTATCACCTGGAAAAATTGCTTGAGTTGCAATCGCCAATTCCTGAAATCAATGTACATATTTATCAGTATCCTGCATTTACTTCAATCATCTAAAACCATGTGTGTAACCATAGTTCAACATATGTACGTAACTGTAAATTCCAATCACGGCTCTGACTGAACATAAAATATTATGATCAGAAGGGTGGTTTATGGAGATTTGAAAGCTAGAAACCCTGTAAGCATTAGATCGATATGTCCTGGGTTCGAATCCCGTGGGTGGGATCGTGGATGCGCACTACCAAGAAGTCGCATACGAGAACAAAATATTATAGTTTATGTGAGCGTTTACCATAATGTTATTTTTTTCTATTCATTAGTTTGCTAACTTGATCACGTGAAAATGAATAATTCAAAGCATTCTGTGAAATTGTAGTGAATTATTTAAGAATGAATGTGTGTGTTCTTATTAGCCCACCTCTCTTGATAAATAACTCACCTACTTCACCATTGTATTTGTCAACTGGTCAATATCTCACATCAATTTTCGATTCCCTAAATCTTCCTTCGGTACATCAGAATACCAGATAACAGTACACAAGTACTTTCTACTCATTATAACATAATTCACATAGTAATTGTGTAATTCATGTAAACGCATTCTGTAGGTGAGAGTTCTCACTTATACTCATCAGTCGATGTAAAACTGATCATAATGAAATAGTTAACAGTGAATAATTTCTTTAATATAGTTTTCAGAAGTACTTATCCATTATCATGTCACAAATGGAACACTGCAACTTTGAGTCTCCTGAAGATTCACCGACCATAAGGAACACCTAGTTAACGTTCATTCCTACACATCTCCCAATTCGACTGATTCGCCTTTTAATGATCCATTAGTTTATATCTTTTAACGTTAATCCAATTGAGATCACTCGATTGTTACTAGCATGTACAGAGGATAATTTAGAAAAAGCCCTCATCTAATTACATTTGCACATTTACCCAGAACCTTGAACAAATATTGGTTTCAACATTACAACATTAATCATTTGTCATTAATTGAGGTGCATTGCAGTGTTAAGTTCCATGTAAGTGGAGACCTTGAAAACTGGACCCTGACGATACGGTGACTAAGTATTGGTCATTCTAATGTAAATGATCAGTGTATCTTCAAACACACAACTGCTCAAAACAGTGGTGATATTTAATGAGAAATACTAGAAATAGAATTTACAATGCTACGTAATAAATCTTCGACGAGGAACAAACGTATGAAACATATCTAAACCCTTAATGTATTTTGGACAGAAGCTGGTAGAGAAATCTTGGGCACATATTTCATGTTAACGGAACTCAGACTCAAACTGATCATGACTTCTAGACAGAACAAAACACTGGTGGACAGTATATTCTAAATATGATCAACTTGTCATAACATAGGAAGTGAAGACAATCGTTCAGTGGGTCGATATTTAGAGATGAACAATTTTCAATTGATCATATCAACGACACTGCGAATATGAACCATGAAATGTGATAACAAGTATTTGAGTTATACTTACGAATTACTTACATAGATGATAGTCAGTAGCATTCCAAATCCAGAAATAATAAATTTTACCTATTAGATAGTAATAATAATAGTAACTTTCATCATACAAATTAAAATTTATCTGAATGAATACGTGTATATTTAGTCTTACTATTCAGTATTAATCAGAGACATCATTTTTCTCTCAATACATGGAAACGTCACCAACAGCGCGTCGTTAAACGGAATCAAGGACTCCGTTGTCGACCAACTTCGAGATCAACAGTATCGATTCCGTGAGGATCGGTCATGTATATACTAAATCGCAACTCTACGTATCATTGTGGAACAGTCATTTGAATGGTACTCTTAACTTAACATCAACTTCATTGACTACAAGAATGCATTTGATAGTGTAGATAGGACAATACTACAGAGGCTTATTTGACCCTACGGCGTGCCTGAGAAGATACTCAATATCATACGGGATTCCTATGATGGATTGAACTGAAAATTCGTGCGTGGAGGACAGCTGACATACTCGTTAGGGGAAAATGCCGCTGTCATGCTACGTTGCTCACTCTCACCTCTCCTCCTTCTCCTTGTGGTTTATCGGATTGTGAAGAGGCGCCAAAATCTGTGAGAAAGCAATGAACATAGTGATCAGCTAGGATGCAAATAAATGATAGGACCACACAGACATTCCGACTCATTTATCGAACACGCAACAACAAATCCACAGGAGAACAATCAGTGTGGCAGCAGTCTCAGCAGCAGTAGGCCTCAACATACACGAAGGTAAAAGCAAGAATCTCTGATGCAACAGCACACACCAATCGAATCACTCTTGGTGGAGAGGCTTCGGAAGTTGTGAAAACCTTTACATATCTAGGCATCACCATTCCTGAACACGCTGGACTGATGCAGATCAAGAGCAGCATATTTACAACTGAAGAACATCTGGAACTCAAAACAATTGTCTATCAACAAACACCAAAGTCAGAATTTTCAGTACAAACCTCAAGACAGTTCTACTGTACGAGGCAGAAACCTGGAGAACAACGAAAGCCATCATCCATAAGTTACAAGTGTTTATTAACAGTTGTCTACGCAAAATACTTCGGATCCGTTGATCAGACATTATCAGCAACAAACTACTGTGAGAGAGAACAAACCACATTTCAGTGGAGGAAGAAATCAGGGAGGAGTGCTGGAAGTGAATAGGACACACATTGAGGAAATCACTCAACTGCGTCACAAGGCAAGCACTCACATGGAACCCTGAGGGTCAACTAAGAAGAGGAAGGCCAAAGAACACATTACGTCGAGAAATGGAGACAGGTATAAGAAGGATGAACAATAATTGAAAAGGACTAGAGAGGAAGGCAAAGGACAGAGTGTGTTGGAGAATGCTAGTTGGCGGCCTATGCTTCATTTATAGTAACAGGCGTAAGTGAGTAAAATAAATTCAGTGCAATAAGCGACAATGACTAACATAAACTGAATAATCAATGCGAATCTGAGAGCACCTAACTAGAGAACCAGGAAACCAGTCAATAATGTTATGTGTTGATTTGGCGTTTTGATTTGGTCAACTTTAATTGTATTGACTCTTCCGCTTCAATATCAGTCGTATTAACTAACAGAAGTTGGTGGTAGCTAGAAAATATCATGTAGATGTTCGTGTTGAGGTAGGATGATGGTTGGAGGTTCACAGTCAGTGACACGAGATCGAATCCGTCAAAGAGCATCAGTTCCCTCAAGATTACAGGTACACTTTGCTGACGAGTGCCAAGTAGGACGAAACCCGGGTCCAGGGTTTCCTTTCGACCACCTCGAACGACCATCTTACTTCAATGTATATAGTGCCACCTAGACTGATGGCCACAGTGCAACTTCATCGATAGCATTCAATCAGCACTAAGAAGGACTTGACACGCAAGACATTGATCACCACCCAGTGATCAATCAATTGTTAGATGTTCGTGTATTCAGAACGGCTAGCTTACCAATAAACAATTGTGAAGGGATGACATTGATGTTTGTAATGAATAAGAAAGAAAGAAATGAACATGAAACTAATGAGTATAATGTCTTAAACATCTAATTGTTAGATATCGAACTCCACAAGACAAAATCTTACTGATTCATCCACTATAAGTTGAAAACCAACTACGGTTCCCTAAACTATACAATTATGCAATAAGCAATATCTCACTTACATCATAGCGACCAAAATGATTCAATACAATGAGAACGATATAAATTATTGCTTGTAAAGTGAATATAACAGTAAAAAATATATTGAAAGATCTTCGTATATCGAATCGTTTCCATCCGCCGAATATTATAGTCAATAATGTAATTCCTATGGTAATAACCCAACTACTTGGAATCCATACCATTTCCCATTCAGAAATTAGCCTTAAAGCTGGGATTGAAAGAATCACCGACTATCAAATAAAAATAAACAAGTAAAATGGGAATCAACGTAACAGATAATCTATCTTCCAAATGATAATTTATTATTTGATTAACTGTAACAGATATGTAGTAATATTTTACAGAATTCTGTAGATCATGAATGTAGATTATCTCTGTCGAATAATTCAGTGTCGAAGGCTCCGGATGCGACCCCTAAGATAACCACCCTTATCGTTTTGGTCACCTGAGCAGTATCACAGCCCTCACACTTATCAAATGAGATTTGTGTGTCGCATATATATCTAGTGCCTCTTTGTACCCATATTCATGTGTTGAAATAAATAAATAAATGCGGACAGCCCACTCGACGTATCAAAGCATTTTGGTTGCTTCGAAGGCCGTGTAAGACTAAGGACTTTATTAGTACGACCATTACTCGGAAAGTGTGGTTGATAAATAAGTGAATTTAGGAAGTAATACAAAAATTTAACTGTTATGTTAGACATTTGAAGATGTAGTACCAGTGAAATGTCCCTGAGCTCTAGCCAAATCATCCACTAGTTGAATCACCACATATCGAATAGATCATCGATCTCTGTCAAAGTCACCGACAACCAACGCTCATCAGTTAATCGTAAGGCATGAACTGATTCATGTGGTAGTGGTGGTCACAGTGTCGCTTGTACCTACTAAATAATATATTTCTATAATAACGTCCTTTGTGTCATACGATCTTCAAATCAATCATAATAATATGATACGTCGAAGGGGTAATCCAAGTCAGATGCTGACGTTGATGATCAACAAACATTATACACATTTTTCTATCAATTTTAATAACTAGATTCAACACTGGTTAATTTTAATAAATTACGTGTGTCTACTCATTAATTCAAAAGATTTATAGGTACATGGAATGTTCGAACAATGTGTGAGACTGGAAGAGTCTTACAAATTGCTGCAGAAATGAGAAAATACAACCTGGAGGTGCTTGAAATCAACGAAGCACATTGGATGCAGGTTGGACAAAAACGACTGTCTTCAGGAGAACTTCTGTTATGCTCCGGTCATAAAGAAGAAAATGCCCCACATACACAAGCAGTTGCATTGATGCTGTCCAGAAAAGCACAAAATGCACTTATTGGATGGGAATCTCATGGACCAAGGATCATCAAAGCCTCCTTCAAAACAAAGAGAGAGGGCATTACAGTGAACGTCATCCAATGCTATGCGCCTACCAACGACTACAATGAGGACGCTAAAGACCAATTCTACGATAGGCCGCAGTCGATCGTCGAGAAGTGCCCAACAGAGGACCTGACCATTCTGATGAGAGATTTCAATGCCAAGGTAAGAAAGGACAACACTGGTTATAAAGACGTCATGGGACGACATGGATTGAGAGAAACGAACGAAAATGGTAAGAGATTTGCCTTCAATAAACTGGTCATGGGCGGCACTATATTCCCACACAAACGCATTCACAGAACCACATGGACTTCACCGGATCACACTACACAGGATCAAATCGACCATATCTGCATCAACAAAAAGTTCAGGAGGACGATAGAGGATGTGAAAAACAGGAGAGGAGCTGATATAGCATCAGATCACTATTTGCTGGTCGCCAAGATGAAACTACAACGTAATAAGCACTGGACAACGGCGCGGACGACATCACAAAAGTTTAATACGGCCTTTCTTCGAGATGCTGACAAACTCAACAAATTCAAGATAACCCTCAGCAACAGGTTCGAAGCCTTTCATGATTTACTCAATGGAGAGGGAACTACCATGGAAAGCAACCGCAAAGGTATCAAGGAGACAATCGTTTCAACATGTCAGGAGGTTCTGGGCCAAAAGAAGCAGAGCTTCAAGGAAAGGATCACTGCTGGTACACTGGTTAAGATTAAAGAACTTAGGAATAAGAAGGCAGCAATCAATATCAGCCGAAGAAGAGCAGGAAAAGCCAAGGCATAAGCCCAATACACAGAAGCAAACAATCAAGGGCGGCACAGCAGTGGGACCAGACAGCATTCCGGCAGGGGCACTGAAGGCAGATGTAGCAGCAACTGCAAAGATACTCCACATCCTCTTCAGTAAGATTTGGGATGAAGAACAAGTACCAGCAGAATAGAAAGTATGACTTTTGATCAAGATACCGAAGAAAGTCGATCTCAGCAAGTGCGATAACTACAGAACCTTCACACTTCTCTTAATACCAACAAAAGTCTTCAACAGGGTATTGTTGAACAGGATGAAGGACTCCATAGACGCTCAACTTCGAGATCAACTGGATGAATTTCGTAAGGATAGATCGTGCACAGATCGAATCGCAACTCTGCGGATCATTGTGGAACAATCAATCGAATGGAATTCATCACTACATATCAACTTCATTGATTACGAAAAAGCATTTGATAATGTGGACGGGACGATACTGTGGAGGCTTCTTCGATACTACAGCGTACCTGAAAAGGCAGGCAATGTCATACGGAATTCTTATGATGGACAGCTGACAGACTCGTCGGAGGTAAATGCCGCCGTCATAAAACGTTGCCCACTCTCACCTCTCCTCTTACGCCTGGTGATTGATTGGATTGTGAAGACGCCAACATCTGGGGGAACGCATGAGACATAGTGGACAGCTGGGATGAAGTTGAACGATCTGGACCTCACAGATAATCCGGCTCATCTATGACACATGCAACAACATATGCAGGAGAGAAGGACCAGTGTGGGAGCATCCTCAGCAGCAGTAGGCCTCAACAAAAACAAAGCGAAAGAAAGATTCTCCAATACAATACAGTATGCACCAATGGAATTACACTTGACGGAGATGCTTTGGAGGATTTGAGAACCTTTACATATCTGGGCAGTATTAATGATGAACACGGTCGATCTGATGCAGATGTGGGGGCGTGGATCAACAAAGCAAGAGCGTCATATTTACAACTGAAGAATATCTGGAACTCAAAACAATAGTCTGTCAACAAACACCAAAGTCAAGATTTTGAATACAAATATCACGACAGTTCTACTGTACGAGGCGGAAACCTGGAGAACTACGAAAGCCATCATCCAGAAATCAAGGAGAAGTGCTGGAAGTGGATAGGACACACATTGAGGAAATCACTCAACTGTGTCGCAAGCGAAACTCTAATATGAAATCCTGAAGCTCAAATGTGAAGTAAAAGTTCAAGGAATAAATTACTTGGAGAAATGGAGACAGACATGAAAAGAGTGAACAACAATTCCAAAGAACCAGAAAGGTAGACACAGGACAGAGTGTGTTGGGGAATTCTAGGTGGCGACCTGTGCTTCATTTGTAGTAACAGGCGTAAGTAATTTATTACCAAATAATAATGTTTAAAAAATAAACACATTTATCATAACGGAAACAGATATACAATACAATTAATAACTTACAAGCATAGCCCAACAAACCAGTTTTTGGATTGTAACAGTTCCTTTAATGATTTACTTAATATTAATAGAATCAAATGTTCAGATGATCACAAACAAATAAAATGAACTTACATTAATATAACAGGAAGGTTCATTCCCCATATGATTAATAGTTGTAGAAAAGTTATAGCACTTGCCTTAGAATTTCAGTATCATTCATTATTGTTGTTTTGTTTTAATGAATTACCATATTATAAAAATCATCACTGGTTACTTGTTGATTTGGTTCTATTCTAATCTAGATATTTATGTTATGACGTAATTGGATAAATAAACAAACAAAACAACCAATAACCTACTTGGTTACTATTCAACTCTTTAGGTTTTTCAACTGAATCTGAAATGAATCTGAAAGTAAAACATGAAATGATTTTATTAAGCAAAGATGGATAGCAGAAATTTAACTGTGAGATGCGAGGATATCCAGCTGATGAATCACAAATAGGACAAAACGCACATCAAGTTGGATTTCACTACTAATCACTATCCATCTTTACTTGTGGAGAAAGGCATTATCGAAGCAATATACACAGACTGATCCATTATAGTCTTAAACAACAATAGGAAGATATAAGTATACATAACACCAAATGCCTCTAAGTTAATAATTTTTGCTATTCAATCAATATTATTCACTTATATTTCATTGTAACAATCAAATTGCTCCTGATTAACACTTTCGAATAAGCGTAACAATACTACTTATAATGATAGTAACATAATTAACAGTAGTATTTCGATTAGTATTGAAACTGTATAGATAAAGGGGAATGAATGTTGATTTACAATTAGAATTTACTTTATTAATATAAAACGAGAAATAATGGTCTTTGTACTGTAATACAATTAACAGATAAGGTGAATTCTTTGAAAGATAAGATTAGTATTTAACAGATAACCAGGGTATAGATATTGTTGAGAAATAATTAAACCAATATTGATATATACACATATGAAGGTACAAAGTTAATGGTTGTAATACTAGTGGCACGGCAGCATTTTAAGTAAGTTATATACTTACTTACTTACGTATAGGCCGTCCACTAGTTCTCGTTAGCGATTATTCAGCGAGTTAGTTTTCTACATGATGGAGTGGCTAAATCCATGCACAACCTTCCTCCTTTACCAAGGCTCGGGACCGGCAGTAACTCTATAAGAGCTACAGGCGGAGTTATACATCATATAATCTAGACTATAATTCACGAGGGGATTCTTTGACACAATAGAGAGAAGAAAACAAAATGATATGAAGAGAACAGAAGATAAACTGAAGACGATTCAACAAGAAGTAGTGTGAAATAACAAGAAAGATTAGAAGGAATGAAACTAACTCTCATTAAGAGATATTACTGTTGAAAAGACAGAGAATACAATGGAAAACATATGAAAGATATTGGTAGAGTTAATTTGCGAATATGTGACAATTTCCATTGAGTTTGTTTAATTCAATGAGATTGATAATGTATAGAAGACATAGTGTTTGATTGTGTTGAAAATTACCCAGAATGGAATT